TGCCTTGTGATCTGACACACACGGACATCGTGACTACACCTCAGGTGCTCTGTTCGCGTACCTCCACCCGCACTTTCACTCCTTTGTTGCTCTGCGCGTCAGGCCTCTGTGCTTGCCAGGGGTCACTTCCTTCAAACCTGAAGAACTGCCTCTAAAATTTTCTTTAAAGGGTGGGGAGTCCTGCTGGGGGTGCACTCTCTGAGTCTTTCTTTTCTAAGAATACCTTTATTTTGTCTTCGTTTTTGAAGGGTATTTTCTCTGCAGCTAGAATGCTAGGGTGGCAGTTTTTTTAATTACAGCTGACCCTTGCACAACACAGGTTTGAACCAAGTGAGTCCATTTACATGTGGATTTTTTTCAACAAATATACTGGAAGGGTTTTTTTTGGATATTTGTGACAATTCGAAAAACATTTTCTTTTTTCCAGCTTATAATACATGTAACATGCAAAATAAGTATTAATCAACAGCTCATGTTAAGGGTAAGGCTTCTGGTAAATAGTAGATTATTAGTAGTTAGGGTTTTGGGGAGTCAGAAGTCATACGTGGATTTTCCATGGCATGGAGGGAGAGAGCCCGTCACCCCTGCATTGTCGGGGGTAAAGTGTGCTTTGACGATGTCACTCCGTCACCTGCTGGCTCCCTTCCTTTCTCCTGGGTGCCTGGGTGCCTCACCTCAGTGCCTCCAGGTCGGGTCACACTGTGCCCTCTCTTCTCTCTGGGACCTTGGTCCTTCCTGCCTTGATGGTTCTCTGATGCTTGTAAATAGATTCTTTGAAATGTGGCTTTAATGTTTTTTCTCTACAAAGTAGTTGGTTGTGGCCTGAAGCACAACTCCTGTTTCATACCCTCTGGAGCCCCCGACAAGCCCTGGGGTGCTAGAGATCGGTGACGCTGGGGTCGTCTCTCCCCGGCCACCGTGCCCTCGCTGTTTGCAGACGTCCCAGGCTTGTGGGGTTTTCTCACTGGAGGACTGGTTGCTACAGGTTTGTGTTTTCTTGGTAACAGCCATAATTTTGTTGAATTAGTGATTCCAGAGTTTTCCAACAACACACGTGACATCAGTTCAAGTTGTAGAATGGAAATAGAGGTTAATAAGAAGGAACTTGTTGGAAGGTCATCTTTTGTCTAATCAAGTGTGTAATTACAGAGACAAGAAAGAAAAAGACTGCTTCTAACCTAAATTGAGACTGATTTCCATGTTCACCTGTTAGTCTTCTGGGGACAAATGAAGGGCATGGAAAGGGGCCCAGGCCCGTTAGCCTTGGCAGTGAGCGGAGTGTTGTGGGCTGGGGGACACTGCCCCGCTCACAGGCCTCTGGCCACTCTGGCGACACGCTACCACCTCTGCAGGAGCGCAGGGCCTGTGGTCCGACCTCCAACGGTTTGTTGAATCTTTGGAAGGCAAAACTAAGGTGTTTTGTGTTTGTTTTGTTCTGCTCAGATTACCCGAAAATTCAGGCTGAATTCTGAAGGCAAACTTGAACAGACCGTCTCCATGGCAACCACTACCCAGCCCATGACTCAGCATCTTCACATCACCTACAAGAGGGTGACCCCGTGACCCAGAGTGGAGCTTCGTCCAGAGCAGGGCCTGGCCGCGTGGCGCTGTGACGCTTTGCCTCTGCCCCGCAGCCCGTGGGTGTGGCTCGGGTCTCCTGGGCTCCAGAGTGTTGCCATCTGTCCATGTAATGGCAGAGAAAAACCAAATAAAAGGCCTTTATTTTTATGGCTGAGCATTTTGCATATCCTCACTTGTGTGGACTATACATTTCTTTCATCTGCTGGTAACTGTTTGCTTTCCAGTCTTTTCCCTCAAATTTAAGAAGAGGCAACTCTCTTCTCTTTTTCTTCTTGCAGTTCTGACAAGATCTAAGTAATCACGAATCTGGACTAGAGAAGTCAGCAACAGGCTGAAGACAGAGGGACCGAACGGATCACAGCTCTCCCGTTGCCCCTGAGCAGCGACTCTTCCCCACGAAGGGCGTCTGCAGGGCAAGGGGCGGTGGAGTTTAGAACTGATACGTTCTTTCCTCCACAATGTAGTGCTTTCAGGAGCGTGTTTGTTTATGACAGAGGTTTCCGATCCAAACGCGCACCCGGCCCCTCACACTGTCACCCAGCTCACCACCTGCTAATGTTTCCATTCTAACTGCTCCATCTCCTCTTTGCTGGAGTATGTTTAAGCAAATTCCAGACACAATGTCATTTGCTTCTAAATGCTTCAATATATATGTAAATACAAAGCCTTTTTCTTTTTCCTGACCGCCCGCCCAATGAGAAGCCACACCAGGACACACTAACGTGGGTATGGGTGAAGGTGGATGGCTGCTGTAGGCCCCCTTCCCCAAGCCTGCGGACAAAAGACATCACCAGGTGGGGTTGTCAGAGAGACCAGGGCCATTGTGGAAGGAACTGGGCTGGTGACCCTGATGCCAAGGGGCACGGGGAAGCAGGTGCAGGGCGTGTGTAGGTATCAGGTGGGACTCCTGGGCAGAGTGCCGTCCAGCTGCGCACCTGTGAAACTAGACAAGTCGGGTGCCTCTAGGATGCCTCAGAGGGGCCCAAGGGGTGGACAGTCCCATTCTAGAAGGAGAGGTTGGAAAGGGGGAGTGACGGGCCCCGGGCAAGTCCAGAACTTAAGGCTGCAGAGTAATCCTCTCAGGCTCGCTGGGCTGCCTCCCAGACACACCAGGTGGTGGTCCGGCCCACAGTGCAGTTCTCGGGGGTTGGTGTGCATGCCTGCGGCCCACCCTGGGCTGGAAGCACACACTGGTGACTATCCTTCTGGGGCACCCTAGTGGGTGCTCTGCGGTGGCCCCACCATGTGGGGCATGGGGCACGAGCCTGAGGCATGGGCCAGCCCACCCTTCGGAATCTGGGTGGAGGTGGCAAGGCCCCCATGGCGCCCATTCTGTGCACCGGCAGAGATGGCACCTCACAGATGCAGGGTGCCATCCATGTTTATAGCCTGTGCCCCCCAGAGGGGTGGCAGAAGAAAGTGGGGAGCAGGCCCTGAGGCTCTGGGCCGTCAGGATCAGGAGCCTGCTTCTGTTTGATGGCTGGCTGGTCCCCCACTGTGTCCACTGATCTCCCCTGGATTCGGCCACACCCTGCATATTCCCTGAACTGGCTCTCTCAAAACTGTCAGTGTGGGTGGGCCGAGAATCTTCCACACTTGAAGGTCTGCTTGCTTCTCCGCGAGCAGTTGCATCGGTGGTTGTCCCTTGCACACTGGGCTGAGGTGCTCAGGAGAGGCCTGGCTGCTGGGCACTGGGTCTGCTTGGTGGCTCCCTCAGCCTGCCAGCCAGCCGTGCTTCTAACAAACCCTGGCCACACATGCAGTTCAGCCACGTTCTTTGTCACTTTATAACAAGGACCACCTTTCCTCCAGCTTCCAAGAACACAACCCTCATGTCCGGCCGGGATCTCACCAGGATGGCCTTTGCCACCCACATTCTGTTCATAATTGCTGGGGCTTCTCCAAGACAGACTTTCTCTACAACTCTCCTTTTCTTTCTGGTTTCTCACCAGAATCATACAAAATGGGCCATTCACAGCGATGTAGGCCCCTCTAGCTGCACCTCCAAACCCTCCGAGCCTCAGCGTGCCACCCAGTCCCAGAGCTGTGCCCACATTTGTAGCTGTTACGATTTCCACTTGTCCATGACGGTTTGTCTCAGTCCATCCAGGCTGCTGTCGTGGAAATGCATAAACTGGGTGGCTTATAAAGAAAGAATTATTTCTCACAGTTCTGCAGGCCGGAAGCCCAAGATTCAGGTGCCAGCCAACCCGGCCCGGTGAGAGGCTCTGCCCTCGGGGACAGCTGCTCCCCACTACAGCTGTGGTAGTGTTCAAGCCAGCCCTCTGGTCTCTCAGGGCACGGATCACATCATGGGGGTGCATCATGTCCCGATCCCTCCCAAAAGCCCACTTCTTCGTACTATCTCCTTGGGGGTGAAGATTTCACCATAGGAATTTGGGGGAAAATGTTCATAGCGCTGAGGGAAGGAGGCTGGGCCCAGAGGCATCACCACTGCTGGGGCTGGGCCAGGGAGCCTGGGACTCAGGACCCACTCCACCCAGCTGGAAGGGGGTCCAGAGGGCAGCACCCCAAGCACAGCAGGGGAGGGGGCCTGGCAGCAGGAGATGAGCCAGATGCAGCCCCCTCACCTGGCTCCTCTGTGCCACTGGCTGGGGAGCTGGCCACAGCCTGGAGGATGCCCCAGGCGGGGTGCTGGGCGTCTGCATTCCGTAGTTCAGACTCGGCCCTCTCCCATCCGTCCCCTGTGGTCTGGAAGGCTAAGGCCCACCGGTCCACCCTGTCCTGCACAGGCAGACTCACGTGTCTGCTGGTCTCACTTTGCTGAGGCCAAAACGAATGGTGGCAGCAGCCAGACCCCGTTATGTTTCCCGCCTCCCGCTGGCAGTGGGGGTGGGTCTCGACTCCACTTGCTCAGGGCTTGCAGTCTGGCAAGAACGTCCCTATGCCTGACTGTGTGTGTGCCCTGCAAAGCTCACACCAGGAAGCCCATGCAAAAGCTGAGCCCCCTTGAAGTGCCAGTCATGGGGGTACTTGTGCCCTGCAGCTCCAGGTAAGGCTGGTGGGGGGAGCCCCTCCTCACACCAGGCCACCACTCGCTGCTGCTGTGGCCCCTGGCAACCCAGTCAAGTGCAGTGTTTTCCCGTGATGGACTGACGGGAGGTGCTCCACAGTCCCATAGGGGGCTGAATGGGGCCCCGCAGTCCCCGGCGGCTGCATGCTCCAAGCCTGGTTCTCGGTGGGGATCAGAGACCACAGACAGCTGACGTGCTCGCCCGGGCCAGGCTGCTCTGCTTCCAGCCCCTTCTGTGTGCAGGACCAGGAAACTGCCCTATAGTTTACTTTCTCACGTGTGTTCGCCGGGCTGCGTGAGATCTCATTGCAGACTCCGGCTTCCCTCGCTGCTTTAGCCCGGGACGTGCATGCTGTTGAAAGAAAAATGCGTGCATCCAAACTAGTGTTTCCAAATCAAATTTATTATAAAATTCGTTACTTTAAAATTCTTTGGTTTTACCTCTTTGAAGATGAAAATCTTGGTTCTTTACATTATTTGCTCAGTCCTACAGGATACATAGAATTATTTCAGAATAATGTTATTAACAGGACTGAGGTTTTGGACTTTTTGCTATTGTTTTCACACCTTCCTGTCACTGGTGACATGAAGTTAAAATGTATTCTGATTGGAACAGGTGATCTGTCTAGGTGCTTGTGTCCCCAGCCTGATGTGCGGCTTCATTTGTCACAAACTGTCCTTGTAAGTTAGTTTTGCTCATGCAGAACATCTTACATGACTTCACGGTCAGTGCAGAGGCCTTTGCCCAGCAGAGTTGTGCTGCTCCGAGAGGTGGCCCGGCCACTGACCCAGTACCACCCCAGTGCAGGGCATCTGCTCATTTCCAGTCTGCTGCCAAGTCAGGTAACACTGCGTGGGTAACCTCGTGTGCACGTCGTTCGGGACTTTTGCCAGTGTATCTCCAGGGTAGATTCCTAGAAGTGGGGCTGCCAGTCCATAAATGCGTATGTGAGGTGCCCAGGGCCACCCCATCAGTGTGCCATTTGCATTCCCACAGCCTCTGTGAGGTTGCTGGCCTGTGAGGGGGAACCACCATCTTGTCAAAGTTGAATGAAGGCCTCCTAATAAGTGAGAAATGGCATCTTGGGGTAGTTTGGGTTTGCATTTCTCTTATATTCTGTTTTTTTTCTGGATGTTTGGAGCTGCTGGGCTCTTTGGAATTAGGAATATTAATCCTACTATTCTTAATTTTAAGGTACCACTTTTGTTGAGGTAAAATACACTATTATGACAAAGGTCACCATTTTAACCATTTTAAAGTATATTAAAATAGTAAGTGTACAGCTAGATGGCATTTAGTACATTCACAATGTTATGCAACCATCACCTCTACTTTTAAAACATTTTCGTCGCTGCAAAGGGACACCTGTGCCCACTAGACGGCCGCCCCAGCCCGACAGACACTGCTTCCTGTCTCAAGGTACAAATATTTTTTGAAAATACTAGGTGTTATGAACATCTTTTTCCATTTATTATTCCTAAATTTTAAATCATGTTTGGGAAGGTGTTACCCACACCCCAATTACAAAGGAAGCCACCCATTTTTTCTGGCATTTCATGGTTATAGATGCTCTTGGGTCCATGTGGAATCCGCCCCTGCGGCTCCTGGCTTTTCCCCGGCGGCTTACCGCTGCCCCCGCGTCAGCAAGCACGCGGCTGCCCGGGGCCGCTCCGTCACAGACACGGCATTGTAGGCGTGGGGTCTGCCTCGGGCCCACCCAGGCCTGTCTGCAGGGAGCCCGGCACCCTGTGGTTCAGGGGCAGACCCGCAGAGATGGTGCTGGGCCCTCCCCTCTCCTCCTCTTTTTAAGGGTTTTCCCAGCTGTGTTTGGCTTTTTTAAAATTTTCCTCTCCTGTGAACTTTATAATTAGCTTATTGGGATCCAGAAAAAAAAACCCATGCTGGTATTTTCATAAGGATTGTATGAAATTTATAAATTTACAAGTGAGGCATCTCTTCTGTGAGACAGATTTCCTGGCACTTGTGCCCCCCGCTCACATGTCCCTCGGTTTATTTAGTTTTCCTCACATAGGGCTCACGTTTACTTTTGTGCTGCTGTCAGAAAAGAGGCTCCGCTCCACTGTGCCCTCTGACACCGTGAGGATGGCCAGCCTGTGTGCCTTCCGAGTCCTGTGTTGGTCACATTGCTTCCCTCTGCTGGATACATACCAAAGGATTCCTCCAGGAAGCAGAGGAATGCATGCCTGCCCCGACCCTTCCCTCCCTCAGTGGCCATGGCCAAGGCCACAGCCTCCGAGGCAGAGTGAACAGCCGGCCCTGGGGAGGTAAGTGCCTGCATGAAAGCCTCATCTGGGGGCCTCCGTCTCATCAGGACCAGGTGGGGGGCTGGGCCAGGAGACGGCGGGTGCCCGGCTCAACCGTATGTCCTACAGAAGGGAGACAGGCTGGGCGAGGCCCCGCCACAGCCCTCCAGAGTACCTGTGTCCTAGCCAGAGCCCTCAGGCTTCAGGAAGACATCCCTGCACCAGGAAGCAGGGAGGGGGGCCGGCCCTGTGGGCCCCACAGGAAAAGCACCCTCAGAAAAGCAAAGGCATGGGCGTGGCTGACATAGGCCGGCAGCCAGCCACGGAGAGGAAGGCGACTGGGCACCTGCCGCGTGACAGCTGTATGTGTGCGGATGTGCGCGCATGTGCGTGTGCCATGGCGGGTGGCAGAAGCTGCCTTAATTAGGGAGATGCTGGGAACTCCAGTGCTTCCTGTCCTAACACTGGGTTCACTGCCCCATCCAGTCGCAGGTGGTCGCACTCCACTGCCAGAAACTTTACTGGAATCGGACAATGCACACGCCAGCCTTGCCCGTGGGCTTGTGTTCATGGGTCAGGTGTTTGGGTCTGGGCCCCACTCCCCTAGTCCCTGCCACACAGGGACCCTGCTTTAGGGTGCACACTCCCCTCCAGAAATGGGGTCAGCAATGAGCACACAAGCCAGACGCTCTGTTTGCAGGGTCAGGAAGACCCCACGGCTCCCCTAGGCCTGGCCAGGCCAGAGGCACCTTCAGACCAGATGTGCAGGGCCCACTGCCCTTGGGGACGGAGACCGACTCGTGTCCTGACATGGCCCCCTGCACTGGTGGGACCCCCGTGTCCAGTGACAGCTAGGTGCTCCCAGCTCCTCTGACTTTGAGCCTGGGAGGTGACTCTCTTTCTGGCTCCAGAAAGAAAGGAGATAAGCAGGGGTCCCAGGCAAAGAGGAGCAGTGAAGAGGGGCCACAGATCGATGCTGAAGCCCAGCTCCAGGCCCAGGGAAGCCCCAGTCTCCTTCCAGAAGGCCCTAGCCTGTGGAGGAGGCTCAGGACCAGGCCTCCAGCAATGGGGCAGGGCGCCTAGCTTGGACAGGGAGGAGGGTGATGATTTTGGGGGTCAGGGCCTACTCGGTCGGAGGGCCTGGCTGTGGCCTCTGGTCCTGCTGACCACTCATCTCTCTGGCAACAGCACAAAGAAGGTGGCCTTCAGAAAGCGGCCAAAGCTGCAGAGTGTGGCCACCAGCCAATGGGACCGGAAGCCAGGGTCGGTGCTGACCACACACTTGAGGACATCGGTCTGGAGGGAAAGAGGAGACAGTTAGTGGGCCTGAGGTGCAGACTCGGTGGGCAGGAAGGGGAGGGAGGGGCTCCGGGTGCAGAGAGGAGCCTGCTGTGCCAGTGCCCGGGTGCCCACTCCCAGCTCAGCTGCCAGCCGCCTGCCCAAAGGCTGCAAACATCTCTGCCCCTCCTGTAGGGCACCCCCAAGGACAAATGCAGCCTCAAGCCCTCCCTGAGAACAGGAGTAGGAACTGAGCTTCCCCAAAGCCCAAGGATTGGGCACACTCCTTACTACCGTTTCCAGCTAAGCAATGAAATCTTTTCCCCACAGTCTGACCACAGTGTCGGTCTGTCCTCCCCGCTCCCGGGGCCAGCCCTAGGGGAAGGCAGGAGGAGGCCGAAGCCTCAGGGATTGTGTGCCAAGGGTTGGCGCAGCGACCCGAGCCATCCTGGAAGCCACCTTCACCCCCAAGTGCCACCTTCCAGCAGACAGCAGCTCCCACCAACTGCTGGGGTGCTTCACACACCCTTGCCAACCACCCATTTCACAAGCTGAGATCACCTATGAGGGGGGCCAACCCCATGGCCACGGCCCAGCAGCCTCTACGGCTTGGCCAGGGCGGAGCAACTGGTTGGGTGCATGGAGATAGTGGCCTAACGACTCTGACACCCATGCCTGTGGGCTGCAGAGGGGCTAGATCCCGGCTTGGGTGGGGAGGCCAGGAGAGGGTGCTCTGTGTGGTGCTGGGGTTTTCCCTCTGAGAGGGCTGGAGTTCTGCCCTCCCAGGTGATGGGGCCCACGCCTTCTGCCAGGCAGAGGCTCCGGGCCACAGGTTTCTGGGGACAGGGCAGCACTGGAGCTGGGCAACCAGGGCCTCGTGCCCCACCCCTTGGTACACTCACTCTCCCATCTCCAACCTAGCAACCCCCCTTCCTGGTGCCCCTACCCCCAGGCCCTCTCACCCATCCACCGCGCCTCCTCAGCCAAGCCGCCAGGGTCTTGCGCACAAACTCTCCAAGGCAGTCGACGAGAGCGTGGACCACGGCGGGCTGGGCCTGCCGCACACAGTCCACAGCCAGCCCCGCGGCCACCGAGTACAGGGACACCACCTTGCCCCACGTGATGCCTGCAGGAGAGACAGACACTGGTCAGCAGAAGGCTCCTGAACTCCTCCTGTCCCGTTCTCAGGGTCACAGGAAGGGGTTGAGCCCTCTGCCACAACCCCTGCCACTCCACCAATGACTGGGGGCAGCACACAGGCTCCCCACCTGGACAGGGTGCCCAGCTAGCTGACTGCCTGGAGCAAGCCCCAGTCACCAGGGGCTGCAGGGCAGTCGTGCCCACCCTCAGGTCTTAGGGGAAGATTTCTCAAGCTTCCGTTACACACCTGTACACCTGCCCACCTGTGTTAGAGCCCAGGACGACCCCGCTCCGCCCACCCCACCATCTGCTAGAGGGACAGCAAGGAGGGCTGCACACAGCAAACAGCAAGGAGCCTCAAGGTGCACCTGCCACGACTTGTCTCCTGACCTGCCCCGCAAGGGCAGCAGGACTTTGTTCTCATAAAGAAACTGGGACCCACGGGGGGCACAACCTGCCCCAGACCATGAGCTCCCAAGAGGCAGAGCGGAGATGGAGCCCACCTGGGAGGAAAAGCAGAGGAAGGGCACCCCGAAGGATGTGTGCAAGCTCTAGCGTGCAAGTTCCCTGAGCATGTAAAGTCGGCAGGAGGGAAGACCTTTCAAAATAAATATGAGCACAGAATGTGAACAGATGAGCCACAGAAAAAAATACACTTGGCATATGAAAGATGCTTTCCCTTGGTAATCATCAAAGAAGGCCTGTTAAAATGACACGCTACTACAAAGCCACAGTAATCAAGACGATTCGGTACTGGCACAAGAACAGAGCCACAGACCAGTGGAACAGAACAGAGACTCCAGACATTAACCCAAACATATATGGTCATTAATATTCGATAAAGGAGCCATGGACATACAATGGGGAAATGACAGTCTCTTCAGCAGATGCTGCTGGCGAAACTGGACAGCTACATGTAAGAGAATGAAACCTGATCACTGTCTAACCCCAAACACAAAAGTAAATTCGAAATGGATCAAAGACCTGAATGTAAGTCATAAAACCATAAAACTCTTAGAAAAAAACATAGGCAAAAATCTCTTGAACATAAACATGAGCGACTTCTTCTTGAACATATCTCCCCGGGCAAGGGAAACAAAAGCAAAAATGAACAAGTGGGACTATATCAAGCTGAAAAGCTTCTGTACAGCAAAGGACACCATCAGTAGAACAAAAAGATATCCTACAGCATGGGAGAATATATTCATAAATGACAGATCCGATAAAGGCTTGACATCCAAAATATATAAAGAGCTCACACACCTCAACAAACAAAAAGCAAATAAGGCAATTAAAAAATGGGCAGAGGAGCTGAACAGACAGTTCTCCAAAGAAGAAATTCAGATGGCCAACAGACACATGAAAAGATGCTCCACATGGCTTGTCATCAGAGAAATGCAAATTAAAACCACAATGAGATATCACCTCACACCAGTAAGGATGGCCACCATCCAAAACACAAACAACAACAAATGTTGGCGAGGATGTGGAGAAAGGAGAACCCTCCTACACTGCTGGTGGGAATGTAAATTAGTTCAACCATTGTGGAAAGCAGTATGGAGGTTCCTCAAAAAGCTCAAAATAGAAATACCATTTGACCCAGGAATTCCACTTCTAGGAATTTACCCCAAGAATGCAGCAGCCCAGTGAAAAAGACATATGCACCCCTATGTTTATCGCAGCACTATTTACAATAGCCAAGAAATGGAAGCAACCTAAGTGTCCATCAGTAGATGAATGGATAAAGAAGATGTGGTACATATACACAATGGAATATTATTCAGCCATAAGAAGAAAACAAATCCTACCATTTGCAACAACATGGATGGAGCTAGAGGGTATTATGCTCAGTGAAATAAGCCAGGCAGAGAGAGACAAGTACCAAATGGTTTCACTCACATGTGGAGAATAAGAACAAAGAAAAACTAACTGAAGGAACAAAACAGCAGCAGAATCACAGAACCCAAGAATGGACTAACAGTTACCAAAGGGAAAGGGACTGGGGAGGATGGGTGGGAAGGGAGGGATAAGGGCGGGGAAGAAGAAAGAGGGCATTACGATTAGCATGTATAGTGCGTGGGGGGCACGGGGAGGGCTGTGCAACACAGAGAAGACAGGTAGTGATTCTACAGCATCTTACTACACAGATGGACAGTGACTGTGAAGGGGTATGTGGGGGGGACTTGGTGAAGGGGGGACCCTAGTAAACATAATGTTCTTCATGTAATCGTAGATTAATGATACCAAAAAAAAAAAATGACATGGATGCTGTAATCAGATAAGTTTAAATGGCGATGTGAGGATCCAGGTAACTGCAGCCTCGTGACTGTGATGGGAAGACGGCTGGCAGGCGTGTGGTCTCTGTAATACAAAGGACACAAACGTGCCCAGCATCAGTCCCTGCAGGGAGGGAGCCTAGGGCAGCAGCAAATGCAGGGAGTGAGCATGGGCCCAACGCACCTTCACACCGCAGCCAGAATAACCTGCTACGAAACAGAAGTCAGCTCGGAGAACACGCGGCCACAAACGCGCACGGCAGCCCTGCGCAGTGTCCAAAACCACCAGCACCCATGACTGTGAGGGAAAACTAACGCGGTCCACACACAAGACTGCTACCCAGCGCAAAAGGGAACGATACTGACAAGCTACACGTGGATAAACCTGAGACATGGGGCCCAGTGAAAGCACCAGCCTCAAAGGCCCGGTAAAGGCCCCATGCTTATGAGCCTGATGAGGAAACACTCAGGAAGTTCTCAGATCCCTCCCCCTCTTGACAGGTTGGTGGGAAGCCACGAAAGGCAAGGAAACAGTTTCTATTGAGGCTTCAGAAATACAGAGGAATCACAAGGTGCTTGGGTGCTTGGGATTGAAACAATGTAACAATGTATCCTCCCCCCAACCAGGGTCTCAGTGGTATGCAACAGTTTGTTAATCATAGTCATGGAAGCCTGTTAGTTTATAATACAGTATCCGGGTAACCTTTACAGAAATGGATTAAAACATAACTAGCATCCTGAATACACCTATAGTGACCTAATAGCTCCCACTGCAACGGTTCCTGGGTGCTGACTCCCCCCAGCTTTGTAGTAAATGTATAAAAGGAACGGCCCTGCTGTACTCGGGGTTCACACCTTTGGAGACCACTGTCCCCTGGGCCCGCAGGTGTGAAATAAACCTCCACCCTCCAAGACCTCTGAGTGTTGCTTGGTTCTTCCGTCAGTGATCCAGTCTGGGTTTTCTGGTTTTCTGTAACAAGTCCATTTGTAAGAAATGTCCAGAGCAGGCCACACAGCGGATCAGAGGCTGCCAGGGGCTGGGGAGGGGACGTTAGGGGACAGGTTTTCTTCTGGGCAATGAGAACTGGTGTGCTGGCTGCACGACGCAGAATACACTGTCACTGAATTCATATCTTAAAATGGTTAACTTACGTGAGGATGTGAACTTAACCTCAATAAAAACAAATTTGAAAACCCCATAAATCAGCCCATGTGTCTCTCCTGCTTAAAGCTCTCCTGTTTCTGTCCCCACCTCTTCCAAAATAAATCCAATCCTGAAACCCCTCCCGAGCTGGCCCCCAGCCCCTCTCAGGCCCCAGGCAGGCTATTCCCGCCTTACCGTTGCCTCCCCAGGGCTCTGGTGCAGGTGCCCCCTCCAGTGCCAACCACCAGGGCATCCGGTGGGAACAATGCACTACACCTTGTTCCCCATCACCAGCAGCTCCCGGGTGCCCCAGGGCATACTCAACGCCGACAGGCACCAGCCGATGCCTCCTGGGGTGCCACACAGAGGCTATGGGCTCCACATGAGGCCACGTTTTGACATCTGGAGGATAAATCAGGGTCTGGAAGGTGCCAGCTGGGATGGTCTCCAGGGTAGGTCTCCTGTACGTCCTCTCTTCTTTGAGGTCTTCTGTGTTTTATTTTTTATGCAGATATGATCTTAACATAAGTTCATTCTTTTACGCAGTGTTTTTATTATATTCACCAAGTGTTGTGACCATCATCAGTACTGAATTCCAGAAAAGTCTGCGTCCCCCAGGAGAAGCCCCGTCCCCATCAGCAGTCTCACCCCTTGCCTAGCCTCCTGTGCCCACTGATCCACTTCCCGTCCCCCACAGGCAACCCTCTGGGGAGCTCCCCCAGGCGGGGCACACTATGCGCCACACACCTTCTGCCTCTCGCCCTGGAGGCCCCCATGCGGCAGCTGGTGCCTGCTTCCCTCCTCGCATGGCCGCGGTGTGTTCCGTTGTCCTGACAGGCCAGTTTGCTTGTCCATCCATCACATGACAGACACAGGCACAACAGTGGACTGGGGCTGCTGTGGACTTTTGTGCGTGAGTCCTCAGGTGGACGTGTCATTTGTCAGGGGGAAATGTGTGGCAGGGGAGCAGCCGGCTCACGCAGTCTGCGGCTTCCTGTGCCCACATCCCTGCTGAAGCCACACTGGGGCTGCCATCCTCCCCACATGCAGTGGCATCTCACTGGGGCTCAGCATGCGCGTTCTGACCAACTGACCACGAGCTTCTCTGCACCGGCTCACTGGCCGTTTGTGCACTTTCCGGGGAGAAACGTCCACTCAGGCGCTTTGCTCATTTCACACCAGGCTGTTTTTTCAGCGCTGATTTCTAAGAGTGCTTTATCTTCCGTATGTTCTGATCTTTCTGTGGTAAAATATTTTGCTCTTGTAATAAGAAAAAAAGGAAAACTCTTGCCAACTTTTAACTGGGGAGGGAAAAATTGGTTTTCCCACTGAAGGGGACTGGGAGGCCCAGCATGCAGACAGCCAGGTATGCATGGGGGCGCTGCAGCTGCGGTGCCAGAAGCCGGGCCCGGCAGGCTGTCTGCGGAGGAAGAGGGAGGGTCGGTCCAGCCTGACGGTCAGCATGTACGAGGCCCAGCTGCAGAGGGGGATAATGGCCAGCAGACACCTGCTCACCCTATGGCAAAAAGACCCAAGGGCCCGGGGCTGGGATGGATGACAGGTGAAGGGGAGGCTTGGGCGAAAGGAAGGGTGGGGTGTCACAGGCTGGGTGAGGGGGCCAGACACGTGGGCAGGCCTGCTCCTGGCCCCTTACCAGGTGGCTCCTATGTTCAGAGAGGTTGAGAGACCAGCCCGAGTGGGCAGCCAGGGGCGAGTGAGGACGTGCCCCAAGGCAGGGGCAGGAGCTTGGGGGACAAGCCCATTGGCTCCCAGTGGGACAGGAGGGCATGAACACAGAGGAATGCTCTGCCGGATTTCAAACCAGAGTCCCAAGACTCGAGCTGAATCCCTTCAAGGTCCATGGATGTCCCCTCCCAGCGTGGAGGCCCTGAGCCTTCCTAGGCACCTCTCAGGCCAGTCCCCAAATTGAGCAAGGCTGGGCAGGCAGGGGTGGGTGCTCTGGCCTTGCCTCCCACCCTCTGCTCCCTGCCCACACACCCCCACCACCCCGGGGGCCGGCCCCACCCAGCTCAGTCCAGGCACCAGCAGGGCAGCGCCAGCGGCAGAGGGTCTCAGACAAGCGGCCATCAACCAGCCCCCTGGCACCCGGAAACACACAGGGCGGCTACCCACAGGCATGTCAGGCCCACGCGCAAGAGCCCAGGGAGGCCGAAGGCGGTCACCAACCCAGGATGACGCCCTCGTCCGCCTCCTCCACAAGGGGCCTGCCTGGGCCACCCACCTGCCAGGGTTACCACACCCCCAGTTCCCCAGCCCAGGCCTAAGGCAGGACTGTTAGAGCACTTATGCAGGACACATGCCCCACCAGCCCACCCAGCAGCCCTAACCACATCCTAGCTGGGACTCCTGCCCGGGGAGGTCAGCTGCCTGGTGGCCACCCTGGAGGAGGCTGCTTATGCAGCTGGTGTCCCATGTCCCAACACTCTGGAGGGAGGCCTCCTGAGTCAGGCCCTGCTCTGTGCCAGCCTCTGAGCTGCCCACAGGAGCCTCCTTGGGGAAGGACGCCAGGTCAGCTGTCACCCAAGGCTCCTGCCAGGGAGGCTGGAGGTCAGTGGGCCCTGAGCCCTGCAGGATGTAGGCTGTGTTGTGAGGTGGTGGGACGGTGGCTCCCCCAAGCCCTCTGCCCTAAAACCCTGCCCTGCCCCTGTCCCACCAGTCCTATGAGCGAGGGAGGCAGGAGGGAGAGGCTGGTCAGCAGACCCAGAACTGCCTCACAGTCAAGGGGGTGAGAGGCCCCCTGCCTGCCGCCTCCTGAAGTGGAAAAGCCAGTGCCTACACACACTCGATGCCACCAAGCGGCTGGCTCCCCCACCCCAGCTGGAACGCAGCCTCGGGACACTCCAGCTCCAGGGCACCCAAGCTCCCTCTCCAAGGGCCAACCATTCATCCCAGGGTCCCCAGGCCCAGAGCAGCCCCAGAAAGTGCTGGGAAACATCCACAGCTTTGCTGACGGAGGGGGTCCACTGGGGCTGGGGCTTTGGTGATGCAGCGCCTGGTGCCTGCTACATGCAGGACCCAGGGACAAGGCGGACCCCCAGAGTGTGGCGCACCCAGGACAGGACAAGGACACAGGGCGCCCAGCAGGGTTCCAAGGAGGCCACATGGACAGGAGGGAGTTTGAGGGATGAGTCCAATAGCCTCCCGCGAGCCTGGAGGCAGGTGTGCGCACAGGAGGCAGGAGGGCCACGCCCACGATGAGGCAGAGCGTCGGGAGACCCCAAGGGGGTGCAGGCCAGCCAGGTAGGACAGGTAAGGTGTGTGGCTACTCTCCAAAGACTCCCCAGCGAACTGCTCCCACATGCACCCTCCCCTCAAGCGGGGCTGACCCACGGAATTTAGCAGGGACACTGTGGCCCTGGAGGCTCTGTCTGTCCCAAGAGCCAGGCAGCGCCCACGCAGGCGGCTTGGGACCCAGTGCCCTGCAGTGAGAAGCCCAAGCCACCACAACCTCGACTGAGATGCGTGCAGGGCAGGCTGGCCCTCCTCTAGCCAACGGCCAGCACCGCTGGCAGCCAGACCCACGTGAGGCCCTGTGCCAGCCACCCAGCCAGCCCCTCGTCCTCAGAAGCAGGGGGGTCACACCGCATCACCGCGTCACTGTTCTGGGCTGGGCTGGGCCTCAAGGAGGCTCTTCCAAGGCCCCACCCTGTGCCAGCTCCTGCGCGACCAGACCCTGGGCCACACTGGCACTGTGGGCATCCTGGCGCCCTACAGACCCACCTGCAGAGAAGATCTGGGTCGCCACAGCCAGAAAGGCGTCCGTCACCACAGTCTCCGACTGCACAGAGACATTCAGCTGGCGCGCCACGTTGCGATAGATGCTGGGCCGGATCAGCTCCAGCTCGTCCCCTGCAAGGCCACACAGGAGGGTCAGGGGTCCTCCACACATGCCTGACACCAACCCCGCTGTCATACTGGCCTGGGTCCAGCCCACTCCACAGCCCCGTGGCACGGGGACCCCAGCCCACATGGACTCAACCGGTCAGATTCCTGCCACAGCCCGGGGACAAGGAGACTAGAGAGGAACCTCTGCAGCCCCTTCTGACAAGCCCGCCAGCCACCCTCACCCCTCACCCCCACTCCAGGAGCAAAGCCGGCTGGGCCAGTGGGGCGGGAATCCCGAGGAGGAGCAGGGGCCGTGCCTGGCTGGTGACTCACAGGGAACTGCCCAGGAGGCAGGCAGACTGGGCAGGTGGCCAGAGCCCAACCTGAGCCAGGACAGCGTCAGCAACCCCACGCAGGTGGGCAGCCCTGGCCGAGCCAAGGAGAGGCAACCTCACTCCAGCCCCAGCTCGACATGGTAAACCAAGAATCTGAGCCGTTACCTGGGGCCACGAGCACCACCAGGCTCAGATCTGCACTCCTGGTACCACGCAGGTGTGGTCTGGATGGGGAGGCCACACTTGGCAGAGGAAATGCCCTCTCAACAGCCCTGACTCCAGTGTGTGCTGGCCACAGCACCCCTGGCAATGATATGCCGGGAATTCCACACAGGCCTCTCCTGGGTGTCCCCCAGCCCAACCCCTTCTCCAGCCAAAGCAAACAGGGAAATGCAGCCTACTGGACATCCTGGCTGGCTGATAAGGGCACAGAATCATCCCTGGGGCCAGCTGCCCTCCATCTAATTAAGATCTGGAACCAGAGCAGAGCAAGGCAAGGCCGAGGCTGGTGGAGGAAGGTGACATGGAAATTCCCACACAAGGACCCAGGGGCTGCCAGGGCCTGGTGAGAGACTGACCCTGGGGCGCGACCCAGGTTCTTCCGTTTGCCTCTGCCCGGGGAGCCGAGCATCTGTGCTGAGGAGGCGCTGGGCTGGGCTGGGGGGCAGGCCTCACACTGAGCAGCTCCAAGGGCAGAACATAGCAAATGAGACATGAAAGCCAACACTTTGGGGGTACAAGCCGTCTTCCACCAGGCCCCCCAGCTTACGCGGCAGGGGCCGAGCCCTGGGAACTGGACATGGCCAGACATGGGACTGAACACTGTATGAGGGCCTGGAGGGCCAGGCTCCTGAGAGGGCCAGTGCTGGACCCCTGGCTTGCCCCTGCTGCCCAGGCCCAGGCCCAAAGCACCCCAGGGCTCTTGGAAGTGGGGACCAACACTGATCCAGTCAGAGCAGCAGGCTGGAAGCAGGGCTTTTTAGCCAAATTTAAATCGGGACTCTGATCCCAGGGCGGGCAGCCTCAAGCCCTGCTGCAGCCAGATGGGAGAGGCAGTATTTCATCCTGGCCATTCCAAAGGCCTGGCGGGCTCTCGGGAGGCCAAGAAACCACCTTCTCCAGGATCCTTAGTATGCGTCCCTGGTGCCAGGCCCACAGCCCACTGGGTGGCTGACCTCATGGGAGTCTGATCCCCAAGCCCCACCTGCTCCACACACCAGAAACCTCCCCCACCCAGACTCACTGGGATACCAGCCCCTGCAGCCTCTACCCCAAGCCCCAAGCCCCATGGAATCTGTGTCCCTCACACTCACCCCCGGGGCAGGGCAGGTCTGCAAGCCCTGCTCCCAGGGTCCATGCAAAACAGGGACACGGGGACACCAGTGTCAGCCTGAGAAGCAGCAGTGTCCCTTTCACTGGGCATTCCCGCAAACCCTCATCCTGAACTAGCTCTCCCCACACTCTGCCTGGAGACACCCAGTCAGGGTGCAGTCTTTGCTGCCCACCCTCCCACGTGCCCACTCCTGGCACCTAACAACCTGTTGGAGGGTGAGTGACCTTGGTCCCAGGGTGGGACAGACTGAGGCAGAAGCAGCTGGGCTGGTCCCTCCCTCTCTGGGGTCAATCTTGAAGAAGGTGGAGATAGTTATTGGGCTGTGTGTGACCCCAGAAACAAGTAGCCCAGGTGTCTACCCACACCAGCCAGCCGGCCAGGTAGGATGTGGGGCTCTCAGCCCCATGGTGGTTTCAGCTCTCCTGGGGCCAATTTCTACAGGGAGCCCTAGGAGGCCCCAAAGTGAGGGGATAGAGCAATAATAGGTGGCAGGGTTTCAGCCACTAACTGCAAAAGACCTGTTTTCTAAAACAATCGTCAGGACACGTGGTCAGACAAAAGATTTCTGAGCCCAGCTGAGTACAAGGGTCAACCCAGAAGCTTAGCCACCGAAGCATTACTGTCCTGGAGCTTTCTATCTGTTGTCGCCAGAATGTCTGAGATCTGGGCTGAGCAGGCAGATCTGGGGAGGTCTGCGGCGGGTGTGCAGCGAGCCTGAGGCTGGGGAGCAGGGGGAGCACCGACCTGGGTCGGGCCTGCCTTGTGCACGTGGCCATTCCGGGCTCCCCGAGGCCGGCCCCCTCTGTCCAGGCGGGAGGCTGACCCAGCAGCGGAGGGTGTCGCCCCGCGTCTCCGGGTGCGGACCAGTGCGGCGCGGCTCCGAGGGCAGCCTGCGGACCCCGCCCGCCCGGGCCCCCGCACTCACCCAGGCGCAGCAGGACCGCGCACACCTCGGCCAGGCGGCCCCCGGGAGCGGGCGCGGCGCGCTCGGGCGCGCTCCAGGCGAGGCCGGCGCGCAGCAGCCGCGCGTGCACGAACTCGCGGCCGAGAGCCTTGGCTTGGGCCACCAGCTCCTTGTCGGTGGGCGAGCGGTCAAAGGCGTCCATGAACTCCGCGGCGAAGACCGAGGAGCGCCGCAGCACCTCCATGTCGGGGACGCAGGCGGGGGGCGCGGCACCTGCGGGCAGACGGCGCTCAGCCCCGGCCGGCGAGCGGAGCGGTCAGCCCCGCGGAGAACCGCCGGGGCGCCCGGGGAGCCTCCAGGCAGGGCTGCGGCTGCGGTAGCCGTTCGCTCCTGTGCCCCAAATCTTTGAGAACACGGTGTCACATTCTTTTAGATTCCGAGTTGAACACAAAGACCCCAGCGGCTGCCGGGGATGGGAAGGGCCGCGGAGAAATGGCGATTCGCTATGCGCCGCCGTGCCCGCGCTCGAAGACGAATGCGCGGGCGGCGGGGGCGCTGGCGGGCGGCTGGGCCCAACCTGCTCCGCAGCCGGGCGACCTGGGCACTGGCCCGGCCGGCACCAGCGCCGTCCGTCGGCGCGGCCACCCCGCTCACCTCTCCCGCCGCATGTCGAGGACGCCGGGCCGGGAACGAGCTCTGGCTTCAGGATCTGCTCGCCGCCGCCTCCGCCGGCCTCGATCCTCCCATTCAAACGGCGAGGGTGCGCGCCCCGCCCGGCGCCCGCCCCGTCCGCGCCTGAGCCGGGCTGGGGGCTCCTGGGGCCGGCGTCGGCGTCGGGGGAGAGGGGAGCGCGGGGCGCGGGGCGCGCGGCGCGACTCTCCGTCGGCGAGAGGCGAGGCTTGGGGCTTCGCCTTCTAAGGAAAAGGCAACCCCGGGGCGGGGCCGGCCGGCCTTCCCGGCCGCCGCCCCGCCTAAGGACGACCGAGTGAGTTCCCTGCGTGCGCGCCGGGGCCACCGGGCAGGGGGCGTCCGCGCGCGGCCCGAGGCTTAGGACCGGGCTCTGCGCCAGTCGCCGGGGCTCACAGCTGCTCCGTTTTCTTACTGCTTCGAGGAGGGTTTCTATATATTCGGGGCACATCCCTGGTCTGACACAGGGCTGTGTGTTGCAGATGGACGCCTGGGTTCGTGTTGCACGAGACACTGCGTCCATCCTCTCTCACTCTGGTTTGCTGTTGCTTGGGGTGAACAGGGGTTGTTCTCAGTGAAGTCCGCTTCACCCACCGTTTCTCTTCTGGTTACTGCTTCTTCATTAGGATATTATCCTGTGTTTTCTTTTAAGTGTTGTGGCCCTCTCTTCAGATGTATGATACATTAATTCTTGTGAATGTCGAGGGGGAAGGCCAGAGCCCACTTTTTCCCACGTGGGTATCCAGTTGACCCCTCATCGTTTTCGTAAAAGACCATCATTTTCCCACTGAATGGGGAAGAGCCCCATCTTAGATCAAGTAGCTGTGTATGTGAGGACCTGTTCTGAGCTACTCAACATCACAGTCTATTTCTCTCTCTCTGAACCAACATCACACAGTTCAAGCAAAGGATTCGCCAGGCTGCCCTGATTCACAGACATGTAGCACTGCCCTGAATAGCAGTGAAATGCTCTTTCCATGCGCACATAGGCTGTTAATCAAAATACATCATATCCATGGCCATAAAGTCTCAACAAACTTCAAAGGATGGACCTCATACAAGTGCATACTGTCTAAATCAAAACTCTGTAACAGGAAGACTATTAGAAAGGCTCCAAGTGCTTGGAAATTGAACATCACACTTCTAAACAGTCAATAGGTCAAATAGTAAACTGTAAAGGAAGTCGTAAAATGTTTAGAAGTGAACAGTAGTGACATGTGACATATCAGACACCGTGGGATGCAAATACAGAGCAGTCCTTCAAGGAGTGCATAGCTTAGGAGAAAAGTTGAAAATTAATGCTTTAAGCCCCAATTCAGGAAGCTTTAAAAAAAAGACCAGCAAATAACCCAAAGGTGAAAGAAAATAACAAATATTAGAGCACAAATTAATGAAACAAAGTAAACAATTAGAGAAAACCAGTAAAGCCAAAAGCGGTTTTTTGGAGAGACTCGTAGAATTGGTGAACTCCTGGTGCTATTGGATAAGAAACCCCCCCTCAAATTCCAGTGTCAGGAATGGAAAGCAAGACATCACCACAGGCGCGCCAAACATTAACAGGAAGTAAGAAGACAGTATGAACAAACCCAGGATAGTACATTTGAAATGTAAATGAAACACACTTGCCAACACTGACAACAAGGAGAAACAGAAAATCTGAATAGTCCTATACCAGTTAAATAAGTTTAATCCATAATTTAAAATTTTTGCACAAAGAAAATTCTAGGTTTAGATGGTTTCATTGAGGAATTTTTCTAAATAGTTGAAGAAGTATCAGCAGCCTCATACAAAACAGAAAAGGAGGAAACATTTCCCAACTCATTTTGTGAGGCCACCATAACATTCATACCAAAACCTGTCAAGGTAAGGCCCCCGGAATATACGTCTGGCAGTGAAGACAGGGACCGAGGCGCCCACTCCTGCTCCCTGCCCACCCTGCGGCCTCAGGTAACCTCCCACCCTGCTCACAACCTCACTTTCCTCCTGCAGAAAATGGCACCGAGCTCTCTGCTTCCCATCTCCTGGGAGTGTGGATGGACGTGGAAAGACTAGATGGGCTCTGACATGAAAGTGACGAATCCCTGGGCATAGCTGATAGACTCACGTTTAGCGTGGCCGCTCCAGTCCAGGAGTTGCCACACGTGGACCCAGCCATGCCTGAAACCAGTAGACCTCACCCCGGACATTTTAGATCAGATCAAAGCCGTGTCTCAGGATCCCATACAGGACAGTGACAGCAGTGAGCAGTTGGCAGTGACCCACAGAGTCTATCGAGAGAGGAGGTCAGACCCACTGGAGGCCAGACCACAAACGTGTCTCCCAACATTAAGCAGCTCGGGTCACGTTGGAGTCAGCTGAAGTCGTCCTGCCCCGCGAGGCCTGGAGGAGGCTGGCTCCCAGCCCTCAGTTCCCCAGGAGGGTCTTGACATTCCTCCCGTCACCCGTGGCCCTAATTCTGCCTCTGCGGCACTCTTGTTCCTCACTCCTGTCTTGCATCTGACCCTCTGTCCGACCCAGTGTGAAGTTCCACCCCTGGCAAGCGGGGAGCCTTCTGAGGGCCAACCCCAGCCCGACTGGCTTGAGCAGAAGAAGGTCGTTGATTGTGTGACTGACATGTGCAGGGAGAGGTCCGTGGCTCCAGGAGTAGCCGGACCCAGGCCTCCCTCCTACCTGGGAGTCTACCTGTGCCCTTTTGTGATGGCGTCACTCTCAGGCAGGCTGTCCCCAAGTGACTGCAGACTGACGCCCACAGCTCCATGCCTACATCCCACAAATTCAACCTTTCCTAATAGAAAAAAGCCACTCTTTCAGGTATCTCCTGGGGATATCTTGGGGTGGGCAGCTTCTGCCATGTGCCCATCTCTGAACCATCTGTGGCTGGAGATAGGGAAGGTGCCAAGTTGTCAGTCCTGGTCACATACTGGGCCCTGGAGGGGATGCTGGGGCCTGTCAGTGCAAGCAAAGCACATGGAAGAGCGTGGGAGGCTTCTAGGAGAAGGTTCCTGGCTTCCCATTAAAAATCTGCTCAAGGCTGTTGGGTGCGTCAGTCAGCGGAACAGAGGAGTTCAGAACCCAGACTTGGACGGTGAGTGGCAACACCTACCTCAGACGTGGATGGGGGTCCCCTGTCCCAGAGCAAACACCCAGGCCCCTGGAATACTGTCTATACCACTGTAGCCACCTTCAGAGCCTGTGGGGCCTCTTCCTCGTCTGGCCTAGGAATTTGCAGGGGTGTGATGGTCATGGACAGGCTGGCCAGGTGGGTTCACGTGAGGCCTTTGGCATGCAGGGCTGGTTGTGTGTGTGGGGGGAGGTTCATGGAGGTTCTTGGCAGGAGCCTGGCCTTCAGCACCTGGTCAGAGCCTGTGCCGAGCCTGGACTGAGCCAAGAGCACGTGCTGCTGTGGCCCTGGCCCCCGTCCCTTTCAGGGGTGATTCATTCCCAAATCATCTGCTTTTGGGGGGATGGGCTTATTCTAAACCTCAGGCCTTCTTGCCCACCACTAGTGGTCACAGCAGCAATGGGAGCTTCAGGCCTGTGGGTAACAGCGGCCCTCCTGCTGCTCTGATAAAATGGGAATATATGCCTGCAGCTTACTGGAAGGAGGTCAGAGCCTCCAGAAAAGACAGAGGAGGGGAAACGGGCTCCCCAGACACCAGGCACTCCGCAGGGGTTCAAAATGGGGTCACTTTACCAAATGCAGCTGGTGGAGGCTGCAGCAGTGAGGAGAAGGGTCCTCAGCCAAAGCTCACAGCGTCCCTGAGCCCTGGTGGCGTTTGAAGAGTCCCAGAAGCAGAAGCTAATAAAGCGGTCGAGTGGACATGGATCTGCAAACCCTTGCAACTGGGCCCAGGCCCTCCAGTAAACTCATTACCCCTGAACTCATTACCTGATGCCTGAACAGGACGCCCCAGGAGGAAACCCTGGAGGTGGTGAGCCAGGTTTGCAACGGGCTGGTTCCCAGGCAGTGTTCCCTCGGGTACTCCCGTGGTCCCCACCCCACCCTGGGACGAGGGCAAGGACTGTGAAAGCCCATGCAGGCCTGAGCAGCAGCCCACCTCCCCATCCTGTTCCAGGTCTGGGTGGGGGCTACCCTTCCCGCCCCTGAAAAGAGCTACGTGGACAGAGGCTGGGGAACAGGGCCCTGCTCCTGCAAGCCGCCTGGTGGGCGTCTTCCATTGGCACAGCCAACCCACAGTGATGGCAGGTGACTGGGTGGAGTTTGGGGGATGGATGCAGCACATGGAAGCTCTTGGGCTGAGGCTCTTGGGGACTGGCAGCCCCATTTGCCCAGACCCCTCCCTGGCTTAGCCCCTCCCAGTTTATTTTTTGCCAGAAGCTCATTCTCCATGAGGGATCAGAACCCAGACCAGAAAGGTTTTGTATAAACCTGAATGAGTGCAGGATAAACAACTAGGAACCTGCACGTGGAGGGCCATTGACGCAGGGGTGGGGTCCATGTGCCCAGGCCTTTAGTCCCCACCCTGCCTACCTGCCTCTCCCCTCCCACAGTCCTATAGGCGTCTGCAAGGGTGGGCTCCAGTCTGGGAATGCAGCGAGGCCTGTGTGGCCTTAAGTCCAGGGTCTTCTGGGCCAGCTGCATACCCCCCAAACAGGGACTCCCCACTCCCAATGCCCCACACTGCCTTTGGAGGTACCCTTGGTGTTATGAATTATAAAATATTTAAAATATTGTCACGTGGAGGATGAACAATGATAGCACACTGTTTCGATGTGCATGTGCGTCCCTGATTGCCAGTGGGGTTGAGCATGTGGCCATCCATCTATCAGCCATTTGAACCCTTTTAATTGTCTAGGCACAGAATCTGCCCATCTTCTCCAGGGTTATTTCTCTCCTTGACTTGTCTGTTTTCTGTATACATTCTGGGCATTCATCCTTTGTCATTCAAAGATATTGCAAATATCTCCCCTGGGCTGTCACTTCAAACCTGGTTCCTTCCCCTTTTCCTGTCCAGATCTCAGACTGTCCCAGACCCGTGTATGCCTCCCCCGGGCCTTCCCCACCCTCCCTCCCTAAACCTGCTGCCCAGGCTTTGTTCCTGACCTTCTGCTGTGGTTTTCAAGACCCATTTTGGGAAAAAAAGTAAGAGCTTTCTTGTTACTTTCTTTTACTTTTCTTCCCAAAACCAGATTGGCAGTTGGCCCGGCACTTCCTGATGAGACCCACACATTTCAAGACTTTAAACTCGAAGACGAACCTGAGTCCGAGTCTATACTCCATGGACCTAACTCTGCTTTCTAACTCCTTTCTAACAAATACGTACTGTACCTAGTGCAGTAAATTCAACGCCTGTGAGTTTTTCAGGTTACTGTGCACTTTAAACAAAGTCACGCATGACCATGATCTAAAGATGCCAGTGAAAAGCAGCCGTCTGGGGGACTGTCTGTCTGCCTCTTCTGCCGGGCCACTTCCGGCTCCCGGTCCATCACATCTCACACCTCTGCGTGTTGTGCTCTCACTGCTGCGTTCTTCCACTGGAGGCTGTATCGGCTGGCTTTCCACCTGGAAGAGGAAGGATCAGCTCCTGCCGGCCCCACACCGGCTCCGTGGCCACTCCAGCGTCTGGGTTGATCCAGAACAGCGTTCTGCATTGATCCGATCACTTCCTATTAAAGGAAAACGTAACACATTTCAGAGATATCCAGTGGTGCTCATTGGTCGTCACCATCCGATGACCGTCACCGCCCAATACCGCTCTATAAGCACCAGGGTTGAAGTGGGAGCCTCTTCCTGTCAGAGTCGGGGAGGCCCGTGCCTCTCAGCCCACCTGTCTGCCCTGCTCCCCACTTCCCCAGTCCGCTCACATCACAGACGCTGGTCCGTCCACTCTCAGGCTTGACCCGTTCGCTGCTGAGCCCACCCCTGCCACTCTGAGTGCTTCTGCGCACCACGTACGGGCAGACAGGCGCAAGGGCCCCCGACTTCCCCACAGCCCGCTGTCCGCGCTGCCTCTCGGTATTCCGGTCCTGGTCTCTGGAAGGGTGCCTTCGCTCTGCCTCCCGGACCATCATGACCCCTGATGCCTCTTTCTACTCTTTCTAATTCTTTGATTTTCGTCGTGATGTGGTCTCCTGTTCTCTGCATCATGGACACAGCATCTTGCCCTGTGGGGACCGACAAGAGGTTTTGGTGGGGGGCACCCCCACTTTTCACCCTGCCCCTGGCTCTCCCCCACTTCTGCACGGTTTGGTTCCTCTCAGAGGCAGGAGCTCCTGGCTGTCCTTCCACGTAGCAGGGAGGACTGGCAGGTCCGTGTGGAGTGTCCAGGCCGAGCCTGGTGACCAGCCTGCCTCTCTCCTGGAAGCCCTGCGCAGGCAGACGTCTCCTGAGAAGGCTCCTCCGGTCTCCTGCTTGAGGTGGGGGTGTCCCTGTCTGGCTGGTGGCATCTGAGACAGTGCAGGAAAGAGGGGGTCTACACATTGGGAGGTAGCCTCCATAAAGGGCCCCTCCTGGCCTCACCATCCCCAGCACTCCCGTAGCTGGAGCCCCTCAGACCAGTTTTTCCTGAAAAGAGGGTCTGATGGTTCCAGCCTGGGGCAGGAGGCTGGGCACTGGGGAAAGGCTGCCCAGCCCGAGGTGGGGAGAGAAGTGGGGCTGGACCCTCCCAGCCTCCGGGCCCTGCTGCTCAGCACCACCCTCTCTGCTTCTCACCTGCAGGTGGAGGCCAGCTCTGCGTTGCCACCGCCCCACCCGTGGGGGGCACAACTCCAGCCCCCTGACGTCTGGCTGGGCTTCCTGATGTACTTCCGGTGTGTTTCCCCTGGCCTCCTGCCCTCCCTCTGCCACAGGACAGCTCTGTCCAGAGAGCCTGCCCCCTCTGCGGGCTCCCTGCGGGCTCCCTGGCAAAGCAGGGGTGGGTGGTGTGAGCAGAGCTGCTGGGAGCCCAGGTGGGGGGGAGACGTGGCTGCCCCCCGCCCCGCGACCCCGCGATCCCACGACCCCAGCTGCCTGACCCCGTGGGGCAGCCTAGCCAGCTACCAGATGTGCCGCTGAGCCAGCCCATCACCGCCTTTCCGTCCACATGCCGTGGAAGACACCGCGCTCAGCCGTCTCCTGTGCCAGCTCTCTGCCCGTGCGGGCTTCCCCTAGTTTTAAGATTCCTTCATCACCGCCTTAGAAGGGTGCCGCGTGGAGGGGGGCTGCAGAGCCATTTTTAAATGGGACTCTGACCGCCCTGCTTTTCATCTCACCATCCACACGCGTGTGGGCTGTCCGGTGCGCGTCCGGCCTCTGCTGCTCCCGCTGCCCCCCGCCTTGCGGTACGGCTGTCTTCGTCTTCAGAGCAGGCTTGTGGGCAAACTCAGGGCCATGGTTCCACGGTCACGGCTTGGGGCAGAATCGGGGACCGCACCCCATCCGCGCTCTAGTCCCACGTGTGACCGGTTCTGTCCCTTTTCCCTGGGTGACCTTCCTCCGGCTCTGCCCCGCCTGCTCTCCTTTATCAGTTTCCTGGGGAGGCCCGGCCAAAGCCCACAGAGCCCACACCCTAGAACAACAGACACCCACTCTCTCAGAGGCTTGGCGGCGGACATCGGAAGGCAGGTGTAGGCAGAGCCTCTGGCCTAGACCTCTCTCCTGGCCTTGGCACTGCCCACGGTCCTTGGCAGCCCCTGGCTAGTGGCCGTGTGGCTGCACGGTCTGCCATCACACCACATGGCCTTCCCCCTGTGCATCTGAGTCTCTCAGTCTTTCTCCTTATAAGGGCACCAGCCACTGGGCTTAGGACCCACCCTGCTCGGTGTGACCTCATCTTCACGTGGTGACATCTGCAGGGACTCTCTGTCCAAATAAGGCCACATGCACAGGGATGGGGGTTAAGCACTGCAACATAGCTTTTGGGGGACCAGCCCACAACACCCAACCCACACACCCCTCTCAGCTTTAAAGACTCATCTTTATCCTTAGATAAATAGTTCTGAAATTTTACTATAGTGTGTCAGGTCAAGAGTTTATTTCTCCTTCTAACCTGAAAACCCACATTTCTCTTCACTTTGGGGGAAATTTTCCCAGCGTGTATGTTTATTCATGTGTGATCTGAGTATGTGTGTATTTGTGTGTGAATCTGTGTATATCCGTGCGTATCTGTGTGTGGCATGAGAATCTGGTTTTGCACGTCTGTCTGTGGAGCCTCCTCTCCCCTCTGGCCTCCCCGGCCTCTGCCTAGAAGCCCCCTGGGTGAACAGTGGGACTCGTGGCTCATTCCCACACGTCTCGGCTTCTTCACACTCCACTTTTCTGGGCCCCACATTCTGGAGGATTCCTGGACTCCATCTTCATCTGGTGAATTTTCACCTTCAGTCGTTTGCTATTCACTCTATTTACTGTGTCATTTCCCTTGATTCATCCATTGTCCTCCAGCCAGAGACGGGGCTCCTTCCCGCAGACACAAGGCCTCTTGCTCTCTGAGGCAGACCTTTGTCCTCACCCCTGGGCAATGCCACCACACGTGGCAAAAGAGAGCTGCAGGTGTGAACACCCAGGATGCTGAGACTAGCAGGACCCTGGGTTATCCCTGTGGGCCCAGCGTCCTCGCTGGCCCTCCTGAAGGGAGGGAGGAAGGTCAGCTCAGAGAGGAGACGCGCCACAGGGTCCAAGAGGAGCTCCACTGCAGGTGGAGGGAGGGGTCACGAACCAAGGGACGCAGTGGTTCTAGAAGCTGAGCAGGCACAGAAACGCGCTGTCACTGGGGGCTCCAGAAGGGAACCAGCCCTGACGGCACGGTGACCTTAGCACCGGGATAACCGTGTCAGAGGCCCTCCACAGCCTCTGATGCCCGTGCATTGTTCACAGCCATTCAGTCTGTGGCCATTTGCTGCTGCAGCCATGGGGCACTTACCTGCCTAGTGCTCAGGCCCCCACCCAACCCATCAGACGGGTAGGAAGTCTGCAGGGTGGGCACTTTGGGAGCAGAGCTTCTGGTCCCCCAGGGAGAACTACTCATAAAAGTAATACATACTCATTTGATAAATTCTGTAAAATATAGAAAAATTACAAAGAATTTAGGTAAAAAATGCATGATCTGGCTTACAAACAACCATTGTGATTTGGTTTGCTATATTTCTATCCAACTGCAAGAGGTAAAAGGAGAGAGGAGAAGAGAGCAGGGTGGGCAGGAGAGGGGGTGCGAGGGAGGGGCTGGGGTGACGATTCTTGTCTGATTGTCCTGCATGAATTGCCTGTGAGCACTTTCCTAAGTCATTACTCTTAGACTGCACCACGTGCCCCAAGTGGTGTGCGGTCAGCCATGATGCCGCTAGGCGTCCGGACGTCCTTGGCACTTCTGCGCTGCTGAGCTCGGTCCTGTGCCTGTCATATTCTCTTGGTGTCCAGGCTCAGACACAGTGTGGTGGGTCAACAGGACCCACCCTGCTTGAAGCCGAGGTGTGGGGGACGGCGCTGTCCCTGGCAACACCCCCTCAGGTGCTAGCTAGAACGGGGCCAAGGTTTGGTCCGAGTCCAGCCCATGGTCGGCACCTGTGCCTGGAGAGTGGTGGGCAGGGCAGGTGGCCGGTGGGAGGCGCCTTGGGCACCCAGGCTTCATCAAACTGGGTCTGAATGTCTCCAAAGCTTAAGCTCAGCCTCACGGTAATGGGCTGCTGCCTGGGAGGGGAGGGAAAAGCATGGAGCCAGCAGGTCTGGGCAGCTGTGGGCAGGCTGTGGGCCGTGTTGCCAGGACTGGTGGTGGTGAAGGATGCAAGTGCATCCTGCAGCCACAGCTCCGTGAGGCCACCACTGGGGATGCAGGGAGCCTGGCTCCACTGTCCTGGCAATGGTCTCCAGGGACCCAATGCTGCCACACTGTGAGTCATCCCTCTGCCAGCACTAGCAGAGTCCTGGCTATACACTGGTGGCACGGTGAGGGCACAGGTGGACACCTCCGTCAGGGCTGCAGCTCCCTATGGAAGGCTGCACCCCCATTACTCAGGCCTGCTAGGGGATGGAATGGGGACTGGGCCCAACTGCAGGGCAGGGCAGACATCACTGTCCCCTCCACCCACCTGATCCTCACCATCTGGGTGCTCAGACCTAAGGATGGGCACAGGGCATGGCCCCCACCCTCAGCTGCCAGGCCCTCCAGAGGAGCCTCATGTTCTCAGTGCCCCCGCTGTCCCTTGAGGCCAGGCCCAATCTGTGCTCCAGGCAGAAACTGAGGCAGGGGTCCCTTGGGTATGTCTTAGCTGAGCTGGAGCTGGCCTCCCGGGGCGATCTCCACTCCTTCTGTCTGTGCTGGCCCAGCTAAGGGGTCCCAGCGTGGGGCAGGCAGGGCCACCTCATCAGAGGCAGCAGGAGGGAACTAGAGCTGATTAGACAAGAGGGGAAGGCCTGCCCCGGGGCCCGGGGAGGACAGGCACTGCAACTCAGATCATGCTCTGGGATCGCTGCTGGGGGCAGGTGGCAGAGAGCTGTGTCCCTACCCTCAGAGCAGCAGATGTGGTGAGTGGAGGAGAGGGCAGTGTCACAGACATGCCGGTGGCAGGTGCGCCAGGACTGCGGGCACAGCCCCCCAGCCCTGCCAGGTCCAGGGACAGCGCCGATTGGCAGGAGGGCCCCACCCTCCTGCCGCCACACCTCTCCGTGAGGGAACCGGGCACCCGGAGTGTCCTCAGAGATCCCTTCCAGGGTGGAGGAGGCTGGCAGGCCCCTTGCCCCAGGAACTGCGCCCCTGTCCCTGAGGCTGCAGTGAAAACCACACAATCTTGTCTGAAACGGCTTCCTTTTCTTAACTGATGCCCTCAGGCCTCCCTTGGGGGTGCACCTGCCGGTGTCTGCGAGGGTGGATGGATGGGGGCAGCCTGCGTCAGGTGTCCCCAGGTCTGCTGCAGAATGCCACAGAAGAAGAACGTGAGGGTCTGGCTGAGGCTGTATGTGGGGGCCCAGGGCTCACCTTCCCAGGGGTGGCCAGGGCCCCCCGCCTGCAACCCAACAGGGGCAGGGAGCAGAGCTGGATCCTTGGCCCCCAGCCACGTCCTGGGCACCGACAGGAATGGCTGACTAGGGGGCCTTTTCCTCCTGGTGGGACAGTTCATTTCTCCCCTGACAGAGCTGCTTTTTCTGTCTTCCCTGCTTCCTGACCTCTGGAGGCCTCCTCTAGGCACAGATATGTTGTTTTGAGACGCTCTGCATGTTCTGAGACTTCAAAGTCCTGGCCAGCAACCAAAGACAAGCTATTTTTCTGAACACAGTGGTAAAATCTGCTCACTGAAATATACTTGGAAAATTAGAAAAGCATATAAAAATTTACAGCCCACATTGCTGTGTAGAGATAAGAATGCTCAGTATTTTGTCTTATTTCCTCTTGGGTGGCTGGGAAAGCCTGTCCCATGGGCAGTGCTCCAACCCACCTCCCAGAGCAGGGGGCCCCACGGAATTCCAAGCCCAGCACCTGGGTCACCATGACATGGGGGCCATGAAAGGCCAGCTTGGGAGGGGGCTGTCGGGACAGGACCCTTACTCCTCGCCTAGGGCTGGGGGGAGGGGCCCAGAGATGCAGGAGGAGCTGGAAGATGAGCCGTCAAAGGGGCCGACCCAAGCAGCTCACAGGGGGGCGCCTGGTGTCTTGGTCACGTCGGTGAAGGTTGGAAGGCTCACGGGGCCCCTCACATTCCTCCCCAGTCTGGCCCATCCAACCTGGGCACCTCTGCTCTCCAGACCACTTGTCCCTGCACTGTGGGGCCTGTCCTGCTCAACCCCCACCCCAGCCTGGGCGCAGCCTGCGTCTGGCTTCACGCCTGGAGGAAGAATGGGGCAGACACCTCAGACCAGCAGTTGTCCCAGCCAGTGGGGTGGTCTCCCTGGGTAAATGAGGTCAGGGTGCAGCTGTGTCCCTGGATCCGAGCCTGTCAGCACCACCTCCACGGCCTCCCAGGGTCCCTGAGTCCTCCAACCCGCGCCCTGCTGGGGACAGAACTCGCTCTTCTGCCAGTGACGTGCGGCAGAGGGCCAGCCCCACAGCACCTGACCAGAAGCAGCAGCCCAGTGGGCAGTGGATTGGTGGGAAGGCCCATGTAGGCTGGGCGACGCCCGTCAGCTGTAGTCACACCCTGGGGCCAGATGACAAACACCCTGAGTGAGGGGCTCCCCACCTGTCCTAATGCACAAGCCCAGGGCCGAGGGACCCCACCTCATGTTGCGGCTAGACCTGGAGGCCCACACTCAGGGAACTCGTCCCACCAGGCTCTACGGGGGAGTGATGCTAACTAAGGTCCCCCACATCACCTGCAGCCCAGGCCCCCAAACCCTGGCTTCAAGGCAGCCCAGCCTACTCTGTCTCCAAATCTCTCTCTTCTCTCAGTTTCCCCAGGCCCCTCCTGGGGGGGGTGCTACCACCCATCCTGGGGCCAGGTGGTCCGGCACCCTCTCTGATCCCTTGCTCATGGGGTGCAGCTTGCCCTGGGCAGTGCAGGAGTTGAGGTTGGGCATCTGCTGGGGCATCCTCGGACGCCCACCTTCCGGAACTCTCTTGGTCTGGGGGGTGTGCAGGCTGACAGAGATGACCTGGGTCTCTTCACTCCTCTAAGTGGAGCCTTTAGGTCCAGCTGTGATGACCCAGGAGAGGGGACCGGGGAGCAGGTGCACCAGCACAGAGTGGGGTGGGGGTTGGGGTGCAGTGGGGCACAACTTGGGGTGTGACACATGGGCCTTACTGGGATCTTGATTTGAGCAAACTGTGTGTGGTCATAAACACAAAAT